ATAACGTCAAACTCTACTCAATTCCTGGATGATTGTATTATACCCGTCGCCGAGGAGATCGGTGTCGTTTTGTAGGTTTAAGCTATTCGGTTGGCGTTTTATACAAATCATTTCTGAGATGAGTCGTTTATAAAGGAATGGTTCTTCATCCAAGATATCAACATTTTCCCAATCAAATTCGTGGCCTGAGTGTCTGTGTTCAGTGATTACCGATAGTTGGTTGGTGTTTCTATTAATGTGTCTGCGGTGTTCTTTAATCCTCGTAGCCAAAAGTCTGCCAGTCTGGCCCACGTATGAGGCGTTGCAGTTTACACAGGAAATATATTTTATTTTTTACGAGTCATGAAAGAGTGTAAATTTGTTTTATATTTCTCGTGAGAAAAAATTGATATTTTGTGAATCTGCTAGTACCAGCCGCGAACTGTTAACTCTACAACAGTTAGCGACGCTTTCTCTATTCGATGGTTTTATTACTTACGGAGTTTTATTTTAACGGAGCACCGAGGTGAAAAGTATGTAAAAATTCCATAGCTTTGTATTTCTATTCGCGAGCGTTTGCTACTATTTTCATAAAGGCTCCAAGTGGTTTCCGGAAATCGACGAAAATAATACCCTTTTTTTTCCGGCAGCGTTGTTGCTTTTCATCCTGCTGTGTTTTTTACTTCAATATCCATGATATTTTATCGCCACGGAGAAAAATACAAAACGTGATAAGTTTACCCGCGAGTGAGAAAGGTTATAAAATTTAAAATGTTTTATCACATAATATTTTTATTAGAATTAAATGTCGTAACTGGTCACGTTTCTAACGCACGAGTAGATCGAGGCGCATTCAGATTTGAGAAATATTTCTGGGTTGAACGCGCCGCGGTTTACCTTGACCCCTCAAAATCTTAAAAGTCATCCCTTCAAGATCGCTACTTCGGACAGAACTTTGCACCTCGAGAACTAAGACGTCGATAAGACCTGAGGTGCTAAAAGTTTTGTAATTCGTCATTTTCTTCTCTCGCTCAAATAGTGTCGATTCTATCTCGATCATCCTCGGTCGAGTGTCTCCGCAACTTTGAGTGTTTTTCGCGCTTTTGAACGAGCATTCTTGCAATTCTCGTAACCTTCGAATTCCAAGCTATCTTTTTCAGCTCTTAGATTTTGATCAAACGTTTCTGCGTCTCACGAGCGTCGACCGTGTCTCAATGATTTTTAGGTCTTCACAAAGGCGTATTTAAAGCCCCCGGCTTCATCGACGTGTTTACGTAATTGATAGCAGGTGGCGAACGACAGAAGGTGGTTGGCCCATGCAGCAACCACGAAGAGTACGACCGCGGCGTCGGCGGCGGCGTCGTCGCCGTCGTCGTCGTCGTCGTCGTCGTCGTCGTCGTCGTCGTTGTCGTTGTCGTTGTCGGTCTACGTCTGCGACAGTCGCTATAAATAAGCGGGGGAATCCCGAGGTGCTAGAAGAGATATCGGCGCGCACGAAAACACGCCCGCGAAAGTATTTCGCCGCTGCGACGGAGATGTCACGTCGTCGACCGAGTTGCGACACGGTAACATTATATTGCAATCTAATAAGTTGCCGTTGCAATATTAAAATTACGCTAAACAACAGATGGAATTGCATAGAATTTTACTGAAATAACTGAGACACGTACGAAAATAATTTAAAAAGTGACAATACTTTTAATGCTTTTTTTTACGCGAAAACGCGGATACTTATTACAGGTTTATAAATTATAAATGGTGAGGATCTTGAAGGACTTCGCTTGTACAGTTGATGATTAATAGATCTTCCGGCACCGAGCTGTCGCTTTTTTTTTTAAACAAAAGTGCACTTAATTGATTTTCCTTGCGCTGTATTGTAGTACCCCACACGCGTCGCACACATTTCTGTCAATTGTCTCTCTCTCTTTCTGTACTGATCGATATCTCACAGTTGACAGGACCGAGCTCTCATTATATCCAAACGCTAAATCGAGGGGCAATTGGGTTAGCTGAGTTGCGTTACACACAAAGCTCGAAAACTCGATCGCTTATTCGCTCGCGGGAGGTGTTCGCCCTGTCGATCGATCGAGGAGAGTAACGCGACGACGGACATTCTAACGATGCTGGCTTTTCTACGGTTGTAGTCTTCGACGTTGCATAGAGGCACGACGACCCAGATCACTCAGAGTGAGATGGCACAGAGATAGTCACCCTCCTTACCTATCGCGTGTTTCAGCGACAGGCATTATTATCTTTAACGATTTATACAGCTGCTGCTGCTGCGCGCGTTGATGGGATTCCTCGAGTTCCCGTCTCTCTTCATCTCCCTTTCGCTGTGGTTTTCGCTGATGGAGCTCTAGTTTCTGCAAACTGATGAAAACATCTTTGCTTGTCCTGCTCTCCTTTAGTTGGGAAGTTTCTCTTTGACATATT